GCCCTGTAATTAAATTACGGGCAGGGGGAGGAAAAAACCCCACGCGCGCTGAGCCCTCGCTCCTCCGGGGAGAGAGAAAGAGAGAGTCCCACCGCCGGCAATTTCTCTTCCATTTCCATTCGAATCCGCGTCGTGAGGAATCATGCGGGCGCGCTCGTGTGTTATGCACGTATGTGAATGCGCCACGAGGGAGACAAAGGCGGTCGGGCGTGGTGCTGGCCACCCATCCCCTCGAGTGCCGTACCGGCCTTCATAGGTACTCGCTCACAGCACTTGCCCCAACAGTCTGTTAAGGCTATAGGGGGGGTCTTTGATTTTATATCTCTGTGTGGTGAGCGGTGGTGAGCGGTAGTGTAGCGTTTAGAGCGCTGCGCTACGATCCTGTCGAGCCAGCTCGATTCCTGCTCACGGACACCAACACATTTGGTGACGATTATCTTGAACCCGTCCTGGGCCTCCTCCTCTAGGTCGAGTCAGCCTCAGATTAGTATCTGGTGGGGCGGTGCGTAGCAAACATCAGCACCGGGGAGACGAAGTCGGCCGGGCGTGGTGCTGGCCACCCACAGCCCCATCCTGCGCCGTGCCGCCCGAACTTAGATACGTGCAACTCACTACAACAGCGCTTGCCCCAAACGGCCAGTTAAAGGCTATACGGGGGGGTCTTTGTCTTTGTGTCGTGTTGATGGGGGCCCTCGTGATTGCCCATCCATCCCGCCAGACGCAGCGCGCTGGAGGAGTTTAATAGCGAGTGGCCCCAATGCATCGCTTATTGGCGGCGTGCGCGCGTGCAATTACATCTGCGATCACACACGCGACTCGCACACGGGTCTCCACAACTTCTGCGGGAACGTGTATTCCACATCCTCAGATTGGCCTGTTTACAATTACGTGGTGTATAAGTTTATTTTTTTTTAAAAATGTATATTAACTTGTTCCGTTAGATTTACTGTTTTGTGGATCACAGCAGTGTACACAACACGAATTCTAATACGAATAATAATGAGAGAAAGGCAAAATGTAACGGCTTGGACACTTATATTATTGTGCATTATCAATCTTGATTTGAAGCTTCCGTGACTGCATGAATGCATACTCTTTGGTTCTTTCGGTAAAGTCACGTAGTAGGTATAAAATAAAATAAAATATTTATTATAACGTAGGTATACACATTATTTTATTCCTACGTGACTTACCGCCGGGGAGATGGAGCTGTTTGGGATTCTCCGATTGGTTTCTTCCATCGGCGGCAACGCGAGAGATGTTTTATTTGTTAATTTCAATATTTTATCCGGATTTTCATTCGTGCGCGTCATGGCAGCAGAAATGTCTCAAGGAGCTCGATGCCAATGTGCAGGTCTGCTGCTGCTGGCCACGACGAGAGGGCTTCAGAAGACAGAGAAGAGAGTTCTGTGTCGTGTCGCTGTTCCTCCTCCGCTGAAGGAGCGCAGCCCACAGTGGGTTTACTGTGGGGTGCACAGTTTGTGATACACGGTCTCTGTGTCTCTGTATCTCTCTATCGGCAAATAGACTGGTATTGCCTATAGACTAACATTGCCCATACACTAACATTGCCCATACACTAACATTGCCCATACACTAAAATTGCCCATACACTAACATTGCCATACACTAACATTGCCATACACTAACATTGCCCATACACTAACATTGCCCATACACAAACATTGCCCATACACTAACATTGCCAATATATACTAACATTGCCCATACACTAACATTGCCCATACACTAACATTGCCCATACACTAAAATTGCCCATACACTAACATTGCCCATACACTAACATTGCCATACACTAACATTGCCCATACACTAACATTGCCCACACACTAACATTGCTCATACACTAACATTGCCCATACACTAACATTGCCATACACTATCATTGCCCATACAATAACATTGCCATACACTAACATTGCCCACACACTAACATTGCCCATACACTAACATTGCCCATACACTAACATTGCCATACACTAACATTGCCCATACACTAACATTGCCCATACACTAACATTGCCATACACTAACATTGCCATACACTAACATTGCCCATACACTAACATTGCCCATACACTAACATTGCCATACACTAACATTGCCCATACACTAACATTGCCATAAACTAACATTGCCCACACACTAACATTGCCCATACACTAACATTGCCCATACACTAACATTGCCATACACTAACATTGCCCATACACTAACATTGCCATACACTAACATTGCCCACACACTAACATTGCCCATACACTAACATTGCCCATACACTAACATTGCCATACACTAACATTGCCCATACACTAACATTGCCATACACTAACATTGCCCATACACTAACATTGCCCATACACTAACATTGCCATACACTAACATTGCCCACACACTAACATTGCCCACACACTAACATTGCCATACACTAACATTGCCCATACACTAACATTGCCCATACACTAACATTGCCCATACACTAACATTGCCCACACACTAACATTGCCCACACACTAACATTGCCCATACACTAACATTGCCCATACACTAACATTGCCCATACACTAACATTGCCATACACTAACATTGCCATACACTAACATTGCCCATACACTAACATTGCCCATACACTAACATTGCCCATACACTAACATTGCCCATCCACTAACATTGCCCACACACTAACATTGCCATACACTAACATTGCCCATACACTAACATTGCCATACACTAACATTGCCATGCACTAACATTGCCCATACACTAACATTGCCCACACACTAACATTGCCCATACACTAACATTGCCCACACACTAACATTGCCATACACTAACATTGCCCATACACTAACATTGCCCACACACTAACATTGCCCACACACTAACATTGCCACACACTAACATTGCCCATACACTAACATTGCCCACACACTAACATTGCCCATACACTAACATTGCCCACACACTAACATTGCCCATACACTAACATTGCCCACACACTAACATTGCCACACACTAACATTGCCCACACACTAACATTGCCCATACACTAACATTGCTCACACACTAACATTGCCATACACTAACATTGCCCATACACTAACATTGCCCATACACTAACATTGCCATACACTAACATTGCCCATACACTAACATTGCCATACACTAACATTGCCATACACTAACATTGCCCACACACTAACATTGCCCATACACTAACATTGCCCATACACTAACATTGCCATACACTAACATTGCCCATACACTAACATTGCCCATACACTAACATTGCCCATACACTAACATTGCTCACACACTAACATTGCCATGCACTAACATTGCCCATACACTAACATTGCCCACACACTAACATTGCCCATACACTAACATTGCTCACACACTAACATTGCCATACACTAACATTGCCCATACACTAACATTGCCCATACACTAACATTGCCATACACTAACATTGCTCACACACTAACATTGCCCATACACTAACATTGCCCACACACTAACATTGCCATACACTAACATTGCCCATACACTAACATTGCCCACACACTAACATTGCCATACACTAACATTGCCGCGTGCGTCTCTTTAACGAGCTGCTGCTTCGTGAGACGTCGTTGATGGGTCGCGTTTGTCCCGTCTTTACCACGCACTGCGGCTCTTCAAACGTTGAGGGGATTAACATTGCCTCCTCCTCCTCCATCGAGGGTCGTGTGCGTCGCGGGCAAGGCTGCTGCTGTTATTATTACTACGGTGAAATTAAGCGCAATGTCGAATGGCAAATGGGATGATAGACGTTGCGCATTACAGCTCAAGTCGCGGCTGATTCCCGGCTGAGCGATGATATCCATAAGCGACGAGTGAGTGCCGTGCCGAGGGAGCCGCTCGCGTGCAGACACAGCCGGGCGGAGCGACTCTCCCGTGCACAGATCTCCTGATTCGCGTCCCGCCGCGTTCAATGTCCACACGCGGAGTTGAGGGCCATCGCGAGGTTTTGAGACATCGGTGTTGGCCGCTCGAACGGTCTCCGAATAAAACAAACCGGAAAGTGCGCGAAAGAAGCGTGGGGAGACACAGAGGGACACGCGGACTAGGTTCGTGACATCTTTGTCTTTGTTTTTGTCATCCGCCACCGTGATCCTGAGCCGCGTGGCTCACATCGGGTCGCGGTGGCGCACTGATTGAAATCTCCCCTCTTCTCTCTCCACTTCTCTCTCCTCTTCTCTCTCCTCTTCTCTCAGCCACGCGTGCGTGCTGCATTACTTTACGTCATCTTTCCCAACCCACTCCAACCAACATCTTCACCGCCGTTCAAAACAAAACAAAAAAACCCCGTAATTATTAAATCACATTATTAGCTCAAAGAGATTAATTAAATCGATATAATTATTTTCTTTTTTTTTACATGTGAACAGAATCGCAGCATGCTAATATGGAACACGCTGAGGCGGCGGGCGGTAGGAAGGGATTAGCATGAGAATTTTGGGAGTAAATGAATTTGAAAGCCGCCTCCAACAAAGGGAGCCCTGAATATTCACGCGACTGATCTGATCTGACCGCCGTTGGCTGAGCGTGGTTGCCCTGCGAGTGGGGAACGCGCTGCGATTATTTTACCATGCGACCGAGTCATTATCCCTAATTGGAGGTAATCATAGGTCCCGTGAGATGAGGCTTGCCACGATGATCTTGCGAGGTGTGTGTGTGTGGGACCATGGGAGGCGGTGTTCGCTTAGGGATGCCTTCATCCAGCGCTGGATTGACCATGATGCTGATGATAGTGAATCCAAATTAGAATTATGAAATTGAAACGGTGGCGCAGTGATACAAACCCGGCGGCCTGAGTTCGATTCCTGTTCACGGCCAACACCGCTTCTGTGCATTCCCTAGGTCGACTCAGGCTCAAAATAAGTACCTGGTGCGGTGTATAAACATCGCCGCAGGGAGACAAAGGAGGCCGGGCGTGGTGCTGGACACCCACCCCCTCGTGTGCCGTGCTGGCCTTCATAGGTGCTACTCGCTAACAGCACTTGCCACAGCAGTATGTTAAGACTATACGGGGGATCTTTGTCTCTGTGTGCGTACGTATGTGGGGGCGCGCTTTCTGGCTGTGCCGTTGTTTTTTTGCCGGCACAATCCCCGACGTTTCGCTCCACGTCATAGCGAGCTTCTTCAGGAATTGACCCGATCGTTATTAATCGCAAGGCCAATCTCACCCCCAAGGCCCTTCCACCAGTGTGTCCAAAGATTGCACTGGGGAGACAAAGGCGGCCTTGGAGTGGTGCTGGTGACCACATCACCACCTCACCATGCTGCCCTTAATAGGTGCTCGCTGACAGCATCTTGCCTCAGCAGGATGAGCGGGACGCTTGCAGTACCGCACCTCGACCACGTGGTGTCAGCATAGGACGCGCCATGACATCTTGTTGCTTCAGGTCAGCAAAGACAAAGGTCCCCCGTATAGCCTACGCAAGCTATTGGGTCAAGTGCTGTTCGCGAGGACGGCGCATGAGAGGGTGATGTGGCCACCGGCACCCCGCGCGACCGCCTTTGTATCCCCAGTGCTGATGCTTTACATATCGCACGGGGTACTCACTTAAGGATGAGTCGACCGCAGATAGACGATCTAAGGTTGACTCACCCTGAAGTGAGTAACAAACCCGGTGCAGACAAATCACTCGCCACTGATGTTAGCCGTGTCCGGGAATTTCAACTCGGGTCGAGAGCCAGAATCGAACTCAGCAACCAGCTTGGGTAAATTCCACATTATCGGGGCGAGGGCGGTCCATCCACAGGTCGCTCTCGCTGTGTGAGGGTCAGCCGTGTCGGGGTCAGCGCGCGAGGCCCTGCTGCTGCTGTTGTTGTTGCTTCTGTTGTCGTTGATGTTGGTGGTGCTGTTGTTGATGTTGGTGGTGATGTTGTTGTTCGTCCACTGACACATACACGCGCACAGGTGTGCCCACAGATGCATTCACGCACAGAGATACAGACACACATAGAGGCACCACACGGATACATAGATACAAAGGCAAATATCCTCCATATAGCCTTAACACATTGTAGGGGCAAGTGCTGTTAGCGAGCACCTATGAAGGTCCGGCAGGGCACACGGGGAGATGTGTAGCCAGCACCACGCCCGTCCGCCCTTGTCTCATTTGAAGAACAATGTATTCGTTTGAGGCTGTTTAATCGACACGCGCACACACACACGCACACACATGCACACACATGCACACAGGCACACAGGCACACAGGCACACACAGGCACACACAGGCACACACGCACACACATGCACACAGGCACACATGCACACAGGCACACATGCACACACAGGCACACATGCACACACATACACACACTGGCACACACGTACACACATGCACACAGGCACACACGCACACACATGCACACAGGTGTGTGCGCACAGACGCATGCACGGCTGATCGCAGGCTGGCATCGTGTTTCGCGTGAATAATTGAGGCCGGTAGTGCCGCTCTCGCCAATGATGATGATGGTGGTGAGGAGGCTTTGTGGAAGCGACCACCCCTCTCCGAGCTAAATATTTCAGTGTGGGTGTGTGTGTGAGTGTATGTGCATGTATGTGCATGTGTGTGCGAGGGTGTGTTCTGTGAGGTCCTGGGGGAGGGAAAATCCCTCAGCCAGGAAAACATCGTGGCACAAAGTGAGGATGAGGATGACCCTCCTGAGGCTGCGGTACCTCAAATATTGGAAGAAGTCACCCCCTGTGAGTGGCTGGCTGAAGTACCATCTGTTGAGGAAGTACTGAAGGCGATCCGGGGTCTGAGACCAGGAAAGGCAGCGGGCAGAGATGATCTCCCAAGCGAAATGCTGAGGGAGGGTGGCGTTTGTGCACAGACTGCCCTATATGACATCATAACAACAGTCTGGACCACTGGACGGGTTCCGCAGGATTGGAAGGATGCCCTGGTGGTCCCCCTCTTTAAGAAGGGGGACCGCACAGACTGTAACAATTACAGGGGCATCTCACTCCTCAGTGTGCCGGGAAAGGTCCTGGCAAGGATTATTCAACATCGCCTTGCCAGGCACGCTGAGGAGAGGCTTGCGGAGCCCCAATGCGGTTTCAGAAAAGGGCGGTCCTGCACAGATGCCATATTTTCTGTCCGTCTGCTACAGCAGAGGTGTAGGGAATTCTAACAAGACCTACATCTCTGCTTTATTGACCTGGTCAAGGACTATGATACCATCATTAGGCCTGGGCTCTGGGTTGTTCTTTGTGCTTTTGGAGTCCCTGACCCTCTGCTCACGATCATTAAGGTCCTTCATGATGGTGAGCGGGCCCGGGTAAAACTACGTGGCCGGGAGTCAGAGCCATTCCCTTGACAACTTGGGGTGCGACAGGGATGTCCTCTGGCTAACACATTATTTGACATCTATTTTGACCACGTAGTTCGTGAAGCCTTCAATAGCTGTACTGGGGGAATCTCCATTTGGTATAGATTTAATGGGAGGCTGATCGATGCCCGGGTTGCAGGCAAAGGATGGCTCCCTATTGCTCAACCACGTTATGTATGCTGATGATTTTGTAATAGCTGCTCATTCAGAGGAGGAGTTGGAGACGCTGCTGCTGAGACTGGAGCGTGCCACTAAGAGATGGGGCCTTACCATCAGCCTCACCAAAACTAAGCACCTGCCTGGGTATTTTGTACCATCGGACACTCCACCCCCACAACTCCCAATCGGTGATGGGCAGTTGTGGAGAGAGTGGAGAGTTTCCCATACCTGGGCAGTGTGCTTATGACCGGCTCCAGTTTAACAGCAGAGGTCTCACTCCGAATCAGTCGAGCGGCAATATCTTTTCATCGGTTGCGTAACGCTGTGTGGAAGCTACCTGGTCTGTCGCTCCGCACTAAGCTTCAGGGCTTCTCGGCCACGGTCATTCCCTTCCTTCTCTACGCTTGCGAAACGTGGACCCCCTTAATGGAGCATCTTCGCCGGTTGGAAACATTTAGGCTTCGCCTGCCTACGATCCATCCTGGGTTTAACCAGGCTGGATTGTGTGAGGAGCTCAAAAATCCTTGAAAGATCTGGGCAAGGTCCCATCAGTGAGCTCCTCCGGCAAGCAAGGCTGCGTTGGCTGGGTCATGTAGCCCGCATGCCCAGCCACCGCATGCCGAAACAGATTTGTTCGGCCGGATCGAGGGGCTAAACGGGCGCGGCACGGGCTAGAGAAGAGATGGAGCGGTGTCAAGATCGGCCTCTCTGGAGGAGGCTCGTGAAGGACGCTATTGGGCAGTTGGAGGCAGTCGCCCTCCAACAACAACGGAGGGCGGAGGAGCGACGCTCACAACAACGAGCGGAGCGCCGGGTGGCTAAAGCACAGGTGGTGCATCAGCCAGTCATCTCAGTCAGTCGACCTGTGGCACCTGGGTCTGCCCCGTGACCTCCTGCCAGCGGGCGTTCGACACTTCACGTGGCCTCAGGGTGCACATAGCCTGGCACAAGCATCGTGGTGACGTCACCGCCACTTGTTGTTGTGTGTCCTGTGTAGGTGTGTGTGTGTGACGTGTAGCGGTGCGCACGCTGCGCTATGAAGCTGGCGAGTGGCGTTCGACTCACGGCCAACACCGCCAGTGACGATTATCTAAAGGTCGACATAGGTCGACTCAGTCTCAAATGAATGCCTGGTGCGGTGTGTAAACATCGGAGAAACAAGGAGGCCGACCACCCACTCCGATTTCTTCATAGGTGCTGCTCGCTAGCAGCACTTGCCCCAACAGTCTGTTCAGGCAATACGGGGATGTCTTGACGGTTGTATGGGCTATAGACAAATATAGATGTGGGTGCACGCGCGATTTTTGTTGTTACCCAGCGGCACCTGTGAAGGCCGGCACGGCACACAGGGGCGTGGATGGCCACCACCACCACCACGCCTGACCGACTTTGTTGTCTCCCCAGTGGCGATGTTTACACACCGCACCAGGTATCTCATATGAGGCTGAGTCGACCTAGGGGAGGCCCAGGACTTGCTCAAATAATTGTCACCGGTGTTGGCCGTAAGCGGGAATCGAACTCGGGTGACTGGGTTCGTAGCGCAGTGCGCTAACCACTGTGCCACCGCTCCCCTTATATGTGTGTCTTCGTGTTATTGTGACAGAAAACGTGCCCACACACAGACACATATATACACAGGCGAACTTATAAACACAGACACATAGATACACGCTAGGGTTGTTAAACGATGCCTGGTAAACCGGTAACCGTTAGTATCAGTTTCGAAAGTGAAAAAACCGGTAACCGATTCCAATATAATTTTACTAAAGAACCCACGGATTGGCACGCGCCAATGTACAGACGGCACGGCGGCCCAAAGTCACCGCGTGGCACATTCGCCCTCTCGCTTTCCCTCCGTTAAAAAGGTGAACGTGCTTCGACTCCCGCGCCGGGAGATGGAATCGAACCGGAGGGCTCCGTGTCGCAAGTCCGGAGCGCGGACCGTGAGCTCACAACGGTGGCAGCTTGCTTCCTTCTCTGAGTTCACAAGGTAAACACGTGGGGGATATTCATTGACACAGATATTTCCGTGTGTGCAGCAAACCGTTATTAACCGTTTTTTTATATCAACGCAAACACAGCTGTAGTGTAGGTGTCGCCACGCCACGCTAACTCTGCACACCTTCAAGCCGTTGTGTCAGTACTAGAGTGTGTGTACACGTGTACGTGTGTGTTCACGTGTGTGTATACGTGTGTGTACACGTATGTACACATGTGTGTACACGTGTGTGTGTGTGTACACGTGTGTGTGTGTACACGTGTGTGTGTGTACACGTGTGTGTGTGTACACGTGTGTGTGTAGCGGTAGTGTCGCGATTAGCACGCTGCGCTACGAACCTGGCGACCAAGGTTCGATTCCTGCTCACGGCCAACACCAGGGACGATTATCTGAACCGGTCCTGGGCCTCCCCTAGGTCGTCTCAGCCTCAAATGAGTACCTGGTGCCGCTAGGGAGACAAAGGAGGCCGGCCGTGGTGTTGGCCACCCACCCCCTCGTGTGCCGTATCGGCTTTCATAACAGCACTTGCCCTGACAGTCTGTGGAGGCTATACGGGGGATCTTTGTCTTTGCATAGATAAAGTGGAGCGATGGCGCAGTAGTTAGCGAAGTGCGCTTCGAGCCCCAGGCCACCCGAGTTCGATCCCCGCTCATGGTTAACACTGTTAAGTGACTTTCTTGACACCAGTGACGAGTATCTGCTACTGTCCTGACTCTCCCCGAGGTCGACTCAACCTTAAAACGAGTATCTGGCGCGCTGTGTGAATATCAGCACTGGGGAGACACAGGTGGGCATGGTTCCGGCCGCACCAATTCCTTAATAGGTGCTCGCTAATAACCCTTGCCTCTAAAGCCTCTACGGGGTCTTGGCTTTGTGTGTGTTTATGTTTGTTTCTGTGGCTACGTACGGTGCGAAAGAAGTTCAACAAACATACGTAGATATGTGTTTACATTTCCGTATCTATGCGTGCATTGTACGCATGAATATTTAGATATGTGTACTTACATATTCAGTATATATCTGCGTGTGCTGTGTCAACTTGTTTGTGTGTGTAGTCTGTATGTGCCGATGTGTTTAATACGTGTATATATGTGTGTATATATGTGTGTATGTGTGTGTGTAATTCTAAGCGTGGGGAGCGCGAGTGTAGCACTGAGCCCGATTCCCGCTCACGGCCAACACCGGTCCTGGGCCTCCCCTAGGTCGACTTAGCCTTAAATTAGTCCCGTAGCTGGTTACGGTGTGTTACCACCGGTGGCTCTGACCAGACCGTCAGTCCGTTAAGGCTAAACGGGGAACCTTTGTCTTTTGGAGTGCAAGGTGATCCATTTATAGACGCGTCACTCAACTCAACAGCTGATTGAATATCGTGAACACAGCGATGGCTCCATATCGCACAGAGGACCGAAGATTAATGAGTGTGTTGAGACTGGTGGAAGATGTCATCATGCTCATCATCAGCCAGCTATGATCGATCCACTGCTGGATGGAAGTCCCTGTACATCCAATGCAGTATCGTTTTATGGTGTAACTCATTATCTAGTTTATTAAATATATTTATTAAGGTGCAATTACTCGCTCACGGAAGGGGCCTCCTCTAGAACGAACTCTTGAGTGGTCTCCTCTTCGACATTGGCCAGACGCTTTGGTAGCTACACTTCGTGCTCGATATAGATTGATCACAATCTATAGATTGTTCACAATCTATAGCAACTAAGAAGGCCGGCCCCATTGCTGGTGTTAATACATCACACCAGGTACTCGTTTAAGGCTGAGTTTACCTAAGGCTGAGTCCGGGACTGGTTCAGATATGCATCGTCGATGTTGGCCGTGAGCGGGAATCAAACTCGGGATGCCGGGTTTCGCACCGCGGCGCGCTAACCACTGCGCCACCGCTCCCCGCACAGCGCACGACTAAACGGGCAGGCACTCATCCGTCCAGCAGTGGATCGATCATGTCTGGTGATGATGACGACATTGACGTCGAATCGATCAAACGCTTTTCCGCACGGCTTGCACGGCGTTCGCATATCCGCCTATCGCCACGGTTCACTTGGCGTTGGTCAGATATGCGACGTCGCGTCGTGCGTGTGCCCCCACCCCCCTCTAGGAGCGCGCGGTGTCACTCCGCTCTCGTGTCGCAACAAGCGACGGACAAAACTGTCGATGTAGTGAACTCGCCTCGTCATTGTTCCGGCTATTGGCGGCTTTGTGAGCGGCTCAGAAAAGGCACCACAATGCCACGTCCCCGTGCATAATTTACACGCGGCCGTGGCCCAGAAGTCCCTTCACTTGCCGTGCCCTACATGCCGCCTCGGGGTTCTCCTCCTTACCCGGTCACACGGCGAGGGGTTCATCCCCTCGCGAGGGGTTCATCCTCTCGCGGTGTCGATTACCCGCTGCTGCTGCTGCTGCACGGCTGACGCGGGAGAGGTGTGATTGGCAGTCGAGATTTAGCGACCCCAACAATCACCACCACTCTCTGGAGGGTGTCCGCCGGGGAGATGGAGCTGTTTGGGATTCTCCGATTGGTTTCTTCCATCGGCGGCAACGCGAGAGATGTTTTACTTGTTAATTTCAACATTTTATCCGGATTTTCATTCGTGCGCGTCATGGCAGCAGAAATGTCTCAAGGAGCTCGATGCCAATGTGCAGGTCTGCTGCTGCTGCTGGCCACTACGATAGCGCGTCAGCAGAAAGAGAGAGTTCGTATTCTTTGGTTCTTTCGGTAAAGTCACGTAGGTATAAAATGAAATAAATCACGACGTTTCGGGCACAACACAAGCGTCCGTCATCAGGTGGGAAAGCATGGTCTGCTGCTGAGGCAGACTGTTTTAAAATGTTTTTTGAAATGGGTGTAGCCCAAGGGTCATAAAGAAGTGGTCGGGGCTCGTGATGTTGGATTGCACCCATTGGGTTGCACTCCCTCTCACATCAACATCATGCTAATCTCTCACATCAACATCATGATAATGTCTCACATTAACATCATGATAATCTCTCACATTAACATCATGATAATCTCTCACATTATCACCATGCTAATCTCTCACATTAAAATCATGATAATCTCTCACTTTAACGCCATGCTAATCTGTCACATTAACATCATGCTAATCTCTCACATTAACATCATGATACTCTCTCACATTGACATCATGCTAATCTCTCACATGTAATGTGTAAGCACGTGTGTGTATGTGATGTGTAAGCACGTGTGTGTGTATGTGATGTGTAAGCACGTGTGTGTAATGTGTAAGCACGTGTGTGTGTATGCGATGTGTAAGCACGTGTGTGTGTATGTGATGTGTAAGCACGTGTGTGTAATGTGTAAGCACGTGTGTGTGTATGTGATGTGTAAGCACGTGTGTGTAATGTGTAAGCACGTGTGTGTGTGTGTATGTGATGTGTACGCACGTGTGTGTAATGTGTAAGCACGTGTGTGTAATGTGTAAGAACGTGTGTGTAATGTGTAAGCACGCGTGTGTATGTGATGTGTAAGCACGCGTGTGTATGTGATGTGTAAGCGCGTGTGTGTATGTGATGTGTAAGCACGTGTGTGTATGTGATGTGTAAGCACTGTGTGTGTGATGTGTAAGCACGTGTGTGGAATGTGTAAGCACGTGTGTGTATGTGATGTGTAAGCACGTGTGTGTATGTGACGTGTAAGCACGTGTGTGTATATGCAATGTGTAAGCACGTGTGTAAGCACGTGTGTATGTGATGTGTAAGCACGTGTGTGTGTATGTGACGTGTAAGCACGTGTGTATATGTAATGTGTAAGCACGTGTGTATGTGATGTGTAAGCACGTGTGTGTCATGTGTAAGCACGTGTGTGTATGTGATGTGTAAGCACGTGTGTGTGTGTATGTGATGTGTAAGCACGTGTTTGTGTGTGTGTATGTGATGTGTAAGCACGTGTGTGTGTGTGATGTGTCGGCGCGTGTGTTGTGAGTCACTGGCCCCCGTCACTCACAGGTCCCTGCAGGCACCTCGCTAATGACGGCCGCGCGGCCCTGTAATTAGGAGGCGCGTTGATTGTAAAGAGAGCAAAGAGAGCATATGGAGCATATGCCATCCTTGTGTGATGGGTGCCCTGACCCAGCGCAGCGACGCTCCCACACGCGTTCCGTCTCATCTCGGTGCCACACGATGATGATGAGTGACCACGTGGGCGCATGTCTGGACCACATTTAGCGGCCGTGCAGCTCAATCACTCTCGACAAAAGTCCGCTGATGGTCTACTTTATTATTATTATTGTTGTTGTTATTTTAAGTAACTCGTGTACTGAGTAACGTGTGTACTGTGCAAAGCGTGTACTGTGTAACGTGTGTATTCGTGCTCCATTGTGTACCCAGAGGAAAGCCTGACCGAGTCTCACGACACCTTTCCAGGAGAGTGCTGCCACGTTGCCGCAACTCGGGGGAGGGCGGCGGTGTCGCGCTGCCTGTGATCAAAATTGAGTCGCTTGAGTGACGCATGTACTGTGTAACGTGTGTACTGTGTAACGTGTGTACTGTGTAACGTGTGTACCGTGTAACTCGTGTACTGTGTAACTCGTGTACTGTGTAACTCGTGTACTGTGTAACGTGTGTACTGTGTAACGTGTGTACTGTGTAACTCGTGTACTGTGTAACGTGTGTACTATGTAACGTGTGTACTGTGTAACGTGTGTACTGTGTAACGTGTGTGTACTGTGTAACGTGTGTACTGTGTAACGTGTGTACTGTGTAACTCGTGTACTGTGTAACGTGTGTACTGTGTAACGTGTGTACTGTGTAAAGCGTGTGTACTGTGTAACGTGTGTACTGTGTAACGTGTGTACTGTGTAACGTGTGTACTGTGTAACTCGTGTACTGTGTAACGTGTGTACTGTGTAACGTGTGTACTGTGTAACGTGTGTACTGTGTAACTCGTGTACTGTGTAGCGTGTGTACTGTGTAACGTGTGTGTACTGTGTAACGTGTGTACTGTGTAACGTGTGTACTGTGTAAAGCGTGTACTGTGTAACGTGTGTACTGTGTAACGTGTGTACTGTGTAAAGCGTGTACTGTGTAACGTGTGTACTGTCTAAAGCGTGTGCTGTGTAACGTGTGTACTGTGTAACGTGTGTACTGTGTAACGTGTGTACTGTGTAACTCGCGTGCTGTGTAAAGCGTGTACTGTGTAACGTGTGTACTGTGTAACGTGTGTACTGTGTAACGTGTGTACTGTCTAAAGCGTGTGCCCGTGTAACGTGTGTACTGTGTAACGTGTGTACTGTGTAACGTGTGTACTGTGTAACTCGCGTGCTGTGTAAAGCGTGTACTGTGTAACGTGTGTACTGTGTAACTCGTGTACTGTGTAACTCGTGTACTGTGTAACGTGTGTACTGTGTAACGTGTGTGTACTGTGTAAAGCGTGTACTGTGTAACGTGTGTACTGTCTAAAGCGTGTGCCCGTGTAACGTGTGAACTGTGTAACGTGTGTACTGTGTAAATCGTGTACTGTGTAACGTGTGTACTGTGTAACTCGTGTACTGTATAACGTGTGTACTGTGTAACGTGTGTACTGTGTAACGTGTGTACTGTATAACGTGTGTACTGTGTAACTCGTGTGCTGTGTAACGTGTGTACTGTCTAAAGCGTGTACTGTGTAACGTGTGTACTGTGTAACGTGTGTACTGTGTAACTCGTGTACCGTGTAACTCGTGTACTGTGTAACGTGTGTACTGTGTAACGTATGTACTGTGTAACGTGTGTACTGTCTAAAGCGTGTACTGTGTAACGTGTGTACTGTGTAAAGCGTGTGTACTGTGTAACGTGTGTACTGTGTAACGTGTGTACTGTGTAACTCGTGTACTGTGTAACGTGTGTACTGTGTAACGTGTGTCCTGTGTAAGGTGTGTACTGTGTAACGTGTGTACTGTGTAACTCGTGTACTGTGTAACGTGTGTACTGTGTAACGTGTGTACTGTGTAACTCGTGTACTGTGTAACGTGTGTACTGTGTAACGTGTGTACTGTGTAACTCGTGTACTGTGTAACGTGTGTACTGTGTAACGTGTGTACTGTGTAAAGCGTGTACTGTGTAACTTGTGTACTGTGTAACGTGTGTACTGTGTAACGTGTGTACTGTGTAAAGCGTGTGTACTGTGTAAAGCGTGTACTGTGTAACGTGTGTACTGTCTAAAGCGTGTGCTGTGTAACGTGTGTACTGTGTAACGTGTGTACTGTGTAACGTGTGTACTGTGTAACTCGCGTGCTGTGTAAAGCGTGTACTGTGTAACGTGTGTACTGTGTAACGTGTGTACTGTGTAACGTGTGTACTGTGTAACTCGTGTACTGTGTAACGTGTGTACTGTCTAAAGCGTGTGCCCGTGTAACGTGTGTACTGTGTAACGTGTGTACTGTGTAACGTGTGTACTGTGTAACTCGCGTGCTGTGTAAAGCGTGTACTGTGTAACGTGTGTACTGTGTAACGTGTGTACTGTGTAACTCGTGTACTGTGTAACTCGTGTACTGTGTAACGTGTGTACTGTGTAACGTGTGTACTGTGTAACGTGTGTGTACTGTGTAAAGCGTGTACTGTGTAACGTGTGTACTGTCTAAAGCGTGTGCCCGTGTAACGTGTGTACTGTGTAACGTGTGTACTGTGTGAATCGTGTACTGTGTAACGTGTGTACTGTGTAACTCGTGTACTGTATAACGTGTGTACTGTGTAACGTGTGTACTGTGTAACGTGTGTACTGTGTAACTCGTGTACTGTATAACGTGTGTACTGTGTAACTCGTGTGCTGTGTAACGTGTGTACTGTCTAAAGCGTGTACTGTGTAACGTGTGTACTGTGTAACGTGTGTACTGTGTAACTCGTGTACCGTGTAACTCGTGTACTGTGTAACGTGTGTACTGTGTAACGTATGTACTGTGTAACGTGTGTACTGTCTAAAGCGTGTACTGTGTAACGTGTGTACTGTGTAAAGCGTGTGTACTGTGTAACGTGTGTACTGTGTAACGTGTGTACTGTGTAACTCGTGTACTGTGTAAAGCGTGTACTGTGTAACGTGCGTACTGTGTAACGTGTGTACTGTGTAACGCGTGTACTGTGTAACGTGTGTACTGTTTAACGCGTGTACTGTGTAACGCGGGTACTGAGTAAAGCGTGTACTGTGTAACACGTGCGCTGTGTAACGCGTGTACTGTGTAACGCATCTACTGTGTAACGCGCGCGCTGTGTTACGCGTGTGCTGAGTAACGTGTGTACTGTGTAACGTGTGTACTGTGTAACGTGTGTACTGTGTAATCTGTGTGCTGTGTAACGTGTGTACTGGGTAACGCGTCTACTGTGTAACGCGTGTACTGTGTAACGCGTGTACTGTGTAATCTGTGTGCTGAGTAACGCGTGTGCTGAGTAACGCGTGCGCTGTGTAACTCGTGTACAGTGTAACGCGTGTGCTGAGTAACGCGTGCGCTGTGTAACGCGTCTACTGTGTAACGCGTGTACTGTGTAATCTGTGTGCTGTGTAACGCGTGTGCTGAGTAACGCGTGCGCTGTGTAACGCGTGTACTGTGTAACGCGTGTACTGTGTAACACGTGTACTGTGTAACACGTGTACTGTGTAACACGTACACCATTACGCGTGTACTGTGTCGCGCGCGCAACGCCTGTTGCTGAGACTTCTGGCTAGCGGTGTTGTTGTTGTCGTTCTTGTTGTTTACAGCGCTCGTGATGTCCCCCACCCCGCCGTACCATCGCGGGCTTGGTGGACACGGCACGGGCGACACGGAGATGAGGGATGACGATGATGGCCCCGTGGTCGAGACTAATGATGGAGTGGCTGCCAAAGGAGGGAGCAAGCAAAGCCACGCTCGAGAGTACGTCCACCGGCGGAGATGGAGCGATGAAATCAGCCTGCGGTGGATTGTTACATCTCGCAACACGGCTTGAGAAGCGAAGCATTCATCCAGCGGTGAATAGAACACGGCTTTAGGATGATTCGCCCGTCGATTACTCTCATTGAACGCAGTCGGAACGCGACGAGAGATGCGTGAATGCGAATCCGTGTTTATGTAAATATTGGTGACTGAAACGGTTACCGGTTCACGACGTTCCAAATCGGTTAACCGATCATGAAAACGACAGCCCTGGTAATAACCACGACGCGCTCCGTGTGATGCGTGTGGGCATGGCGCGTCACTTCGCACTCGGGGAGTGAAACGACGAACGGTATGAACCGGTTACCGCGAGTCGTCAGTGGAGTGTTGATGATGGACGCTGTGATTGCTGGGCGCGCGCACAATCCGCACGGCGGCCTAAGGCACCGCGTGGTAAATTTGCGCCGAGTTTCTGAGTTAAGAGGCAAAAGGCGCAGCCCTGCAAGTGCCCGCTCACGCCACTGCTGATGGAGTGGATGGTATTTGGCCTACTGCTCCACGCTAACTGTGGATGAACCCATAATCGATGCTGCTGCTGGGTGAACAGCGGCCGTCACAATGTAACACGCGCTCCGTTTGTGGTTGTACGCACAAACCGGTAACCGATTTTGTTATTCCGTTCCCAGTAACGCAAATCCGACGAGTCGTGTAGTACACTATTAGCACACTAATAGTACACTATTAGCACACTAATAGTGTTGATACTATTATAGTACACGGCTAGTGTACTATTATAGTACACGGCTAGTGTACTATTATAGTACACCACTAGTGTACTATAATAGTATTATAGTACACCACTAGTGTACTACTATTATAGTACACGACTAGTGTACTATAATAGTATTATAGTACACCACTAGTGTACTACTATTATAGTACATGACTAGTGTACTATTGATACTATTATAGTACACGGCTAGTGTACTACTATTATAGTACACGACTAGTGTACTATTGATACTATTATAGTACACGGCTAGTGTACTATAATAGTATTATAGTACACCACTAATGTACTATAATAGTATTATAGTACACCACTAATGTACTATAATAGTATTATAGTACTATAATAGTATTATAGTACACCACTAGTGTACTACTATATAGTACACGACTAGTGTACTATTATAGTACACGGCTAGTGTACTATTATAGTACACCACTAGTGTACTATAATAGTATTATAGTACACCACTAGTGTACTACTATTATAGTACACGACTAGTGTACTATAATAGTATTATAGTACACCACTAGTGTACTACTATTATAGTACATGACTAGTGTACTATTGATACTATTATAGTACACGGCTAGTGTACTACTATTATAGTACACGACTAGTGTACTATAATAGTATTATAGTACACGACTAGTGTATTATAGTACACGACTAGTGTACTATAATAGTATTATAGTACACGACTAGTGTACTATTAATAGTAGTACACTAGCCGTGTACTTCTATTATAGTACACGACTAATGTACTATTAATAGTATTATAGTACACAACTAGTGTATTATTAATAGTATTATAGTACACGACTAGTGTACTATTAATAGTATTATAGTACACAACTAGTGTACTATTAATAGTATTATAGTACACGGCTAGTGTACTATTAATAGTATTATAGTACACAACTAGTGTACTATTAATAGTATTATAGTACACGGCTAGTGTACTATTAATAGTATTATAGTACACGGCTAGTGTACTATTAATAGTACTATTAATAGTAGTACACGGCTAGTGTACTATTAATAGTACTACTATTAATAGTACTATTAATAGTAGTACACTAGTCGTGCCCTGATGGAGGACCCGCGTCGCGCCTGAGCGTCGTGTTGCTGGCACCGCGCGCGGCCGCCTTTGTCTCCCCAGTGGTGTTGTTTACACTCCATGTGCGCACCTCCGATTATCACGGCTGGCTACGTACGGTGCGAAAGAAGTTCAACGTACTCATTATATGGCGTATGTACGTAAACTGGTCATATTTAATATAGACATACCGGTATATGTGTGTGTCTATGTGCACACTATGTACGGTAGCTGTGTGTACTAACTTGTACGTGTAAGTACCTGCATCTACGTGTGCATGTACGTTTATAGACACACGTATACCTGCAGAGGCTGCGCCCGTGTGGAAACCGTGGGTCCCTCTCGAGTTTTGCTCTCCCATTAGCGCTCCTCACCGCTCCCCTGCCTCTCCCCCTGCCTCTCCCCCTGCATCTCCCCCTGCCTCTCTCCCTGCCTCTCCCCCTGCCTCTCCCCCTGCCTCTCTCCCTGCCTCTCTCCCCGCCTCTCTCCTCGCCTCTCCCCTGCCTCTCTCCCTGCCTCTCCCCCTGCCTCTCCCCCTGCCTCTCTCCCTGCCTCTCTCCCTGCATCTCCCCCTGCCTCTCCCCCTGCCTCTCTCCCCTGCCTCTCTCCCCTGCCTCTCTCCCTGCATCTCTCCCTGCATCTCCCCCCGCCTCTCTCCCTGCATCTCCCCCCGCCTCTCCCCCTGCCTCTCCCCCACCGCTCGCTCCCTGCTGCGCTGTTCTCATGCTGAACGCGGTGCTGAGCGGAGCGAGAAGTGACTGAGTGCGTGTGTACGAGTGCGTGTGTGTGTCCGCGAGAGTGTGTGTGTGCGAGTGCGTGTGTGTGTCTCCGCGTGTGTGCGAGAGTGCGTGTGTGTGTGTGTGCGAGTGCGTGTGTCCGCATGTGTGTGTCCGCGTGTGTGCGAGTGCGTGTGTGTCCCGTGTGTGTGTCCGCGAGAGTGTGTGTGTGTGTCTCCGCGTGTGTGCGAGAGTGCATGTGTGTGTGTGTGTGAGTGCGTGTGTGCCCGTGTGTGTGTGTCCGCGAGAGTGTGTGTGCGAGTGCGTGTGTGCCCGTGTGTGTGCGTCCGCGAGAGTGCGAGTGCGTGTGTGTCTGTATGTGTGCTCCAGAGTGTGTGTCCGCGTGTGTGTAAGAGTGTGTGTGTGTGCGAGAGTGCGTGTGTGCTCCAGAGTGTGTGTGTGTATGTGCGCGTGTGTGTGAGAGTGTGTGTGTATGAGAGTGTGTGCGTGAGTGTGTACGAGAGTGGGGAACGGTGGCGCAGTGGATAGCGCGCTGCGTCACTGATTTTGGTCGTCATGCGCTAACCACTAACGACCAACACCAATAACGAATATCTTAACCGGTTCTGGGCCTCCCTTAGGTTGACTCAGCCTCAAATGAGTACCTGTTGTGGTGTATAAACATCGCCACTAGGGAGACAAAGGCGGCCGGGCGTGGTTCTGGCCACCGACCTCCCAGGTGCCACAAGCACTTGCCCCAACAATCTGTTAAGGCTATAGGGGGGATCTAGCTTTTGTATGTGCGTGTCGTCTCTCACTATATTGCGTGTGAATGCGCGTCTGTGTGTGTGTATCTGTGTGTGTGTCTGTGTGTGTGCGTCTGTGTGTACGTGTCTGTGTGTGTGTGCGTGTCTGTGTGTGTACGTGTCTGTGTGTGCGTGTCTGTGTGTCTGTGTGTGCGTGTGTGCGTGTCTGTGTGTGTGTATCTGTGTGTGTCCCGGCCTTCATAGGTGCTCGCTAACAGCACTTGCCCCTACAGTCTGTTAAGGCTATACGGGGGATCTTTATCTTTATCTGTGTGTGTCTCTGTGTGTGCGTGTCTGTGTCTGTGTGTCTGTGTGTGTATGTATCTGTGTGTGTGTCTGTGTGTGTGCATCTGTGTGTATCTGTGTGTGTGTCTGTGTGTGTGTCTGTGTGTGTGTGTATCTGCGTGTGTGTCTGTGTGTCTGTGTGTGTGTCTGTGTGTCTGTGTCTGTGTGTCATCTCTCACGGTCCCGGGCGCCACCGTCCATCCTCGCTCAGGATTCGTGGCCTGTCTCTCATCGCTCCATCTCCATCCTTTGGCTGCCATTCCGTTACCCAGCATGGTCCATCGGGCCCTCACGTCCCTTCTGCTGCCCAAGTGCGCACGAATGTCCCCTTCACTCCGCGTGGACGTCTGCACCTCGCGCGTGTTCCACGACCTAAGCGCAATGTTCATCACGATTCATGCGACCATATCTCCACGCTGCTTTGCGCACTTGTTTGTGACTCATATCTATTTGTATGTATACGTTCGTGTGCACACACACACACGTACATACACACACATACACGTATGTATATGTCCTCCCACCCACACCCCACTAACATCTACCACACACACCCCCACATCCAGAACACTTCCCCCCCCCCCCCCCCCCATGCACACCCCATCATTAACCCTTGCATTGCCCCGTCAGCTCGCTCTTCTCTCCTCCTCCTCCTCCACGCTTTGCACATCAAGATTTGCGGCGGCGGAGAAATCATTACGGGAGCGAGAGAGAGGGGGGGAGGAAGGGGGGAGCGGGGAGTAAGGGGGAGGGGGTAGGGCGAGTCCGAGGCAAGGGTGGGAAGAAACTGAAAAAGAAAAGAAGGCGCTGAAAAGAAAGGGAGAGAGAGAGAGAGAAAACCCCCTTGGCTCGTAGCTTTCACTCGATTGAGTTCTGGGCGGTTCGCGTATCCGTGGGCAACGCGAGCGGCTCAATAGGGGCGGCTCGGACACGCACGTGGTCTGGCTGTCAATCAAGGGGCTGGGGGAGGGGGAGGCGCTCGGTGCGGGGCCCGAGAAGGAGCTTGGGGGGGGAATAAGGGGGGCATGGGGGGGGGGTGGTGGTAGATGGAGGATAAGAGTCGGAGTGATTTGGGAGGATGGAGTGGGGGTCGGGAGGGGGGGACATCGCCCCCACCCCCCGACACCTGCTCGCTACAGGGAGGCTTGCCCAGCCGAGGAAACCTCCGCTGATTTGCATGTTTTTGAGGGGGTGTTGTGCGGTGTTTTTTGGGTGATGTGGGGTGGGATTTTTTTTACCGTAATTTTGTGTGGTTTTGGGTGAGTTTTTTGGAGTTTTGGGATTATGTGGGCTGTTTTTGTTGTTTTGGGGTCTTTTGGGGGTATTTTGCGATGCTATTTTTCGTCTTTTAACGTGATTTGTGGTTGTTTTTTTGTTGATTTGGGTTTTGTATGTGATTTGGGATGTTTTGGGTGATGTGGATGGTTGTGGCGTTGGAGGAGGGGGTTTATTTTCTGCTTGTTATTGTAACAATGGGTCGAACATTTTCATCGTCACCGAAGCATACCCGGCCTGTTTACCATCGACACCGGCGTGCCGCCGAGATGAGAACACGTGCCCGTCACGAACACGTGCCCGTCACGAACACCGCACTGCCGGCTAGCGCCCTGCCCTTCCAACTCGCCGACCCGAGTTTGAAACCCGCTCACGGTCAACACCACTGACGATTGCCTGAACCGGGCCTTAGTCTCAAATCATTCCTGGTGCGACACTTGCCAGACGTGAACACAACGCACACAACAACTATATAATATATTTACGTAACAATTAAAATATATTTTATTATTTGCTTTGTCTACCAACCCCCATAGTGTTATCGTTACCGCTCGCTCCCCACCCCCTCCGCTCCCGCGTGGCACAGAACGGTCCGCGGAAGGGGATATTACAAAACTACTGCTGAAATTAATTAGAGTTCCGTCTTATCTCCACGAGGGGGCAGCACATCCCCACACGGCGTCGGCACTGCCCCGCCCTGCCACAAAGGTTCGTCGCATGACAACGCGATACATAATTCACATCTCAGCGCTGGAATTTAGCCAAATCGCGGACAAAACCAAACCGAACACGATGGGGATATTTTTTGTTGTTGTTGTTAGCAGTCATTGGCGACCGAGCAAAGGCCATCAACTCACTGCACTTGAGAACCCGGGGTAATCACAGTGACGAATGACAATGCCTTGAAAGGGAATGTATATATAGAGTCATCGGCGACGTTTCGGGCAATGATCCTTCTTCATAGCCAAATAAGTTTGAGTGTTTTAAATGAGAATAGGTTTTACCCTTTCTGGCAATACAACAGGTGTTAGGATGTTAAAGCACCAAACAAAAACCCTTTGCAAGGAATCGTTCAGCATTAACCGCACGTACTTGTAGTGAACATGCAAGCAAACAATAACATGCTCCGGTATGTTGAGCGTTGTTGTTGTTGAGTGTTGTTGTGAGTGTTTTGTGTGCGTGTGTGTGTGCCCGAGGTGATTGTGCAACTGTTAATTGTGCGCGTCTTGCGGTGCGCTGTGAACGTACGGCACGCACGGTCGAGGCTAGCCAAAGGGAGTGAACACGCCAGAGGAAGGGGCACGCCGAGCGGGGAGATGGAGCAAGGAAATCAACTCGCGTGCAGGCTCCAGATGGATCGTGCTCCAGCGCGAGACCACGAGAGATGGCTACGGGATGGGCAGAGCACGGCCTACGACGCTGATGAATCAGTCGGTGCACTTTGCGATCCCCGTGTTTGGCTGCCACTCTGCCGCCAGTCTCGAGGACGCGGCGATCGTCCCGTTGCAGGCAGGGCGGGTCCCGCCAAAGCCCCGCTCACCACTGTGAACGGTCCACACGATGTCTCGGACTTGATTTAACCACGGTCGGTCGGCTGTACAACCGTGAGCTCTTAAGAAGCTCCACCAATTGACTTCCTGAACAAGCTCCTCTGCACGTGGAGCGAAACGTCGGAAAACAACACGTGGTGCAATTGCAACAAACCACAGCGCAGAATCTGTGCGGCAGCATGGCTCTAAACACCACCGCAGTTGCAGATACGACTGACACACACACAGAGACAACATCACAACAACAATCATCATCATTATTCGGGCTTCATGGCTTACTCGGCATTTCCAGCAACGCTGCTAGGCTGGCTCGGAGTATGGATTATCGGCGTAAGGCACTACCACTGGAATACAAGGTAGTCATATCCATAATAATCTTATATTCATTTTCATTCCCTCTATTACAATAAATCTCACGAAGATGTTTACAGCAAAATAGGGCGAGAGGCATGTGGCTGAACGTCTAAGTAATTGCCTTCAACCGGATTGTTCCAGACATAATTAAACACGGATAACAATCTGCACGCGAAACTTAAACGATACGGCCACGCCGACAGAGAGAGAGAGACGAAAGTTTTCTCGCATCAATTGGCGCGCCCCCCCCCCCCCCCTCGGGAGAGCCACCATAAATATGCAGATGTGGCCTCGGGGCGACGCCGGAACGCGACTCAACACCCGCGGGACTCTCCGCGCCTTGCCTCGCCGCCTCCACACAACAGCGCTGCCGGCGAGCGCCAGAGGCCGCCAGAGGTCGCCAGAGGTCGCCAGAGGTCGCCAATGCCATCCAATCTCCCGGTGCGGCAGCTGAAACAATCGTGTACGTTTCTTAAATCCACCCGCCACCACCACCACCACCCAATGAACGCCACCACCACCCAATCACCACCACCACCCAAGGGACGTGGGCCACGGTGGCTAGGAGATATTAACTACCTCGCCTGGTATACAGAAGGTCGTCAGTTCAATCCCCACCCTGACGCTTGCTGTATATTTGGAGTCTGCGTGTCTCTCTTTGTGCCTGTGGTAGCGTGGATTTTTCTCCGGGTCCTCCGATGTTTCTCCTCCACATATCGAAAGACGCGTTTAGAGTGTTTGGCTGCTATAATTTCAAGCCACTTCGTTGAGCCATCATTTGTGACCAGGTCGCTTCTGAAAAATAGCAATATAGCTCAGTCGGGCTTACCTGGTAAAAACAAAATAGTTTGAGTAGTTTTCTGTTTACCCAGCAGTGCACAATAAGCAGAAAGGATACACCTCAAGTTAGTCCATCGGCAGGTTAGTCGCATGCGGTGGGATAAAGTGTAGGTTCTCCCACCCCTTGTTCCAAGACGACTGGCCAGAGTGGAGGTGTGGGTCAAAGTAACTTCTAATTACAGGGTTGCATGTTTCCCATAGACCTAACAACTGCGCCACCGCTCCACCACACACAACATATCGAGTTCTGCCAGCTGAGTGGTTGTTGGAGTTTGGAGACGAGTGGTGGTGGTGGTAGCTGGGCCTGCCGCTGCTACTTCACTAATCGGTAAAGGTACAGCCCTGCAAGTGTATTGCTCTCACCACTGCTGGTGGAAGGGGCCTCCACTGCATAAGAGCGAACGACGACTGGATACTGCGACCCGCGCTGTGTGTCCCGTGGAGTTTAGCGTCTCTGCTTCTCGCCACGTGTCTGCCTCGGTGGACTTGGGAGGTGGTCGTGGCGACTGAACAACCGACTCGCTCATCACCACGTGCACCGTGTGTGTGTGTAGCTCTGTGTGTGTGGCTGTGTGTGAGAGAGAGTGGTGGGGAGCGGTGGTGTAGTGGTTAGCGCGCTGCGCTACGAACCCGGCGACTCGAGTGCGATTCCCGCTCACGGCTAACACCGGTGACGATTATTTGAACCGGTCCTGGGCCTCCCATAGGTCGACTCAGCCTCAAATGAGTACCTGGTGCGGTGTGTAAACATCGCCACTCGGGAGGCAAAGGCCGCCGGGCGTGGTGCTGGCCACCCACCCTCTCGTGCCGTGTTGGCCTTCATCGGTGCTCGCCCCAACAGTCTGGAAAGGCTACACGGGGTTCTTTGTTTGTGTGAGAGATCTGTCGTGTAGCGGTCAGCGCGCTGCACTACGAACCTGGAGCTCCAAGTTCGATTCCCGCTCATGACTAATATCAGTGAAAAAAATCCGAACCAGTCCTGAGCCTCCCCTAGGTCGACTCAGCCATCGCCACGCGGTGTGTAAACATGTGTAAGCATCAGCATCAGGTGTGGTGCTGGCCATGTGACGTTCCGACCTTAATAGGTGCTCGCAAACATCACTTGCCCCCAACAACCTACGTAGGCTATTCAGCGTGTGGTGAAGTATGGTCAATAAAACCCCACTGACCATCGCCGCGTGGCGAAGGCCTTCATCCAGCAGTGGATCGGTCATGTAGCCCACTGCCTCTGCACACAAGAGCACACATCCAGGTGTGCGGAGCGCCACGACTTTTACACACCGCACCAGTTTTGATATCGCTCGCCACTGATGTTAGCCGTGGTAAAAATACAAAAAACATCCAAACCGGTCCTGAGCCTCTCCGAGGCCGACTCAGCCATCACCACGCGGTATCGAACGCGTTGGCGTAGTGCTAACGCGCACACGCCAACGCATGCATAATGCGCACATATGCATGTGCATATTTACATATATGTATATGGACCTGTGCGTAGCCAACCGTGCTCATCGAATGTGCGGGGGAAGGAGAAGCTAAACACAAAGAGCAGTTCTCTCTGTGTGTATATGTAGGAGTCGTCAGTAGCTATATACGCTGCAAGTATCGACTCGCCAGTAAGTATATACACAGCGTGTGTGTAGTGTATATATGTCTATAGATATAGACAAAGTCAAGACACTTCGTGGAGCTCTAACGAGACGGTTGGGGCAAGTTAGCGAGCAGCACATATGAAGGGCAGCAGCATGCCTGGTCGCCTTTGGCTATCCGGTGCTGATGTTTACGCAGCGCAGCAGGTACTCATTTGAGGCTGAGTCGACCTAGGGGAGGCCTGGGTTTTGGGTTATATAATGGTTACCGATGTTGGCCGTTGTGAACAGAAATCGAACTCGGGTCGCCAGGTTCGAAGCGCAGCGCGCTAACCGCAAAGCCACCCCTCCCGACACTTGCACACACACACCTACACACACACCTACACACACACACACCTACAGACACACCTACACAAAGACAAAGATCCCCCGTATAGCATTAACAGACTGTTGGGGCAAGTGCTGTTATCGAGCACCTTTGACGGCCGGAATGGTACACGAGGGGGTGGGTGGCCAGCACCACGCCCGACCGCCTTTGTCTCCCCAGTGGCGATGTTTACACACCGCACCAGTTACTCATTTGAGGCTGAGTCGACCTAGGAGAGGCCCACAACAGGTTCAGATAATCGTCACGGATGGTGTTGGCCGTAACGCAGCGCGCTAACCGCTACACGACCGCTCCCCACACTCACCTGCACACACACCTACAAAGACAAAGTTCCCCGCATAGCCTTAACAGACTGTTGGGGCAAGTGCTGTTAGCGAGCACCCATGAACCTATACAAACAAACACCTACACACATCCCTACACACACACACACACCTACACACAAACACACCCCTACACACCAACACACACACCTACACTTAGACACATCTACACACCCAACACACACACATCTACACACCAACACACACACACATCTACACTTAGACACACCAAGACACACCTACACACACACACCTACACACACCAACACACACCTACACACAGACACACCAACACACACCTACACACACACACCAACACACACCTACACACAGACACACCAACACACACACCAACACACACCAACACACACCTACACACACACACACACCTACACAGACACACCAACACACACCTACACACACACACCAACACACACCTACACACACACACCAACACACACCTACACACAGACACACCAACACACACCAACACACACCTACACACACGCGGACAGGTAATGCCCCTCCAACACTTCCACGCGCATCCCCCCCCCCCCGCGGAGGAGCGCGCACCTGCCCGCCCCGCCCCTCGCAACCTTTCCCCCCCGCCCCGCGCGCATCTACCGCCACTGTGGGCGTGGTCTGCGGAGCGAGAAGGGCGTGTTCTTAAGGGGAGCGCGCGCGCGCTGATTGGCGGGCGGCGCGGTGTGGTGAACTATAAAACCCAGCGGGGGGAGCGCAGGGCCCGAGTAGAGAGAGGGAGGCACGGGTGGGTGGTGGACGTGACGAGAGCTCTTCGTGCTGCACCCTCCCAGATACACCTGCACGCTACCCACACCTGCACGCTACCCACCCCTGCACGCTACTCACACCTGCACACTACTCACACCTGCACGCTACCCACCCCTGCACGCTACTCACACCTACACGCTACCCACACCTACACACTACCCACACCTACACGCACTCTACCTGCCGAGTTGGTGTGCTGCGAGTTGAACGAACTGCACAACTAACTCGCGGTCCCCGGACGCGAGACTGCATTGTCCACCCCAGTTGCTGTTTGTGAGGTCTCTCGAGCAGCAGCAATTCCATCACACCCATCGTCAGCAGCAGCAGCAGCCACCATCATCACCTCGTGCAGCGGACACCACCATCAACACCATCATCAGCTGCTGCCGGTGAGGGCGAGGAGAGTGGAGCAGGCGCCGAGATGTACAGCATGCTGGAGGCCGAGCTCAAGCCCGTCGGGGGGCCACAACCCAAGGCGGTGTCGGGACCTGGCGGTGCTGGCGGCGGGGGGGTCCTCGGCGCTGGCGGCGACGGGAAAGTCCCCGACGACCGCGTCAAGCGGCCCATGAACGCCTTCATGGTGTGGTCGCGCGGCCAGCGGAGGAAGATGGCCCAGGAGAACCCCAAGATGCACAACTCTGAGATCTCCAAGCGGCTCGGCGCCGAGTGGAAGCTCCTCACCGAGGCCGAGAAGAGGCCCTTCATCGACGAGGCGAAGCGGCTGCGCGCGCTGCACATGAAGGAACACCCGGACTACAAGTACCGGCCCCGTCGCAAGACCAAGACCCTGCTCAAGAAGGATAAGTTCTCTCTGCAGGGCGGCCTCTTGGCCTCCGGGGGGCCCCCGGGCAGCGCCGCGGCCGCCGCGGCCGCCGGCCTCGGCCAGCGCCTGGACCCCTACCCGCAGCTCAACGGCTGCTGGCCCAACGGCAGCGCCTACGCAGCGGCCGCCGCGGGCCTGCAGCAGGAGCCGCTGGCCCACGCCTACTCGCAGCACGCCGCGCTCAGCGCAGCGCACGGGGCTGCGCAGTTGCAGGGCCTGCACCGATACGACATGAGCGGCCTGCAGTACCTGCCCGGCGGGCAGGGCTACCTGAACGGGGCCGCGGCGGCCGGCTACAGCGTCTCGTACGCGCCCCAACCCAGCAGAGCGCTCTCCCCGCCTCCTTCTCACGCCACTTCGAGCTTCGGTCACCATCATCAGCAGCAACAGCAGCACCAGCAGCAGCAGCAACAGCAGCAGCAGCAGCAGCGCACCTTGTCTCCCGTCGGCGGAATTTACGTGCAGCCCGGGCGCACGCTGTCTCCGGCCTCCGGCTATGCGCAACAGGTGCGGGAGATGTCGTCTCCTGGGATCGGATATCAAGCGCAGCAGCAGCAGCAGCACTCGCATCAACCTCAGGCGCTACCTCCCCTCTCTTCGCTCACGAGCGTCGGGAAGAGCGAGGCGGCCACGCCATCCCCGCCGGCCGTAGCCGCGCCCGGCGGTGGTGGAGGCGGTGGAGGTGGTGGAGGCAGCGGCGGGAGTGGACGCGCGGCGTGCCCTGGGGACCTGCGCGAGATGATCAGTATGTACCTGCCCATGGGCAGCAGTGAGGCTGGCGTGTCCGAGGTGGCCCAGAGCAGGCTGCACCACCACCTGAGTCAGCACTACCAGAACGCCGGCCCCAACGGAACCATACCCCTCACGCACATGTGAGTCATACTCAGCACGCGCACGAACGCGCCGCTCACGCATTGCGGTGTTTTATGTTGATGTGGCGGTGAAGGAGGGGGGATGATGGCCCGAGGCACGTTAAGTCGCCCACGGCCTGTAGCACTCGCTACGGATTAGAGTGGGGCAAACAGATTAATTTGTGTTAATTGTTTATTCCTAGCGTGTAATTCGCCAATGAACTTGCCGTGTAGTTGGTGAGTTTGTTTTCTAGTTGGGGTTCGTTCTAGTTCCAAAATCCCCGTTACTCGCGACCCCTAACAGCGGCAGCCTCCACCCCCCCCCCCGCCCCACTTTTTTCGAAGTTGAAAACGAATTTAAAGTTAGTTATTTTTAAAATTACAAATTGAACTCGTTAGCGCGCTGCACGCGCCGGATGATAGGTAAAACTTAAATCGTACCTTGCGTTTATAGAGCGACGATTTTAATTGATGATTGTGTTGGTTGCGTGTCTTGTGTGGTACAGAAGGGGCCACCGATAATTGCTCTCTGCGGTGTTGTGTGCATGTATCGTGAGAGTTCCCAGCCGAGTACTCATCACTAACAATCAGTACAATTATGCAGTACTAATCATTAACAATCAGTGCAATCATGCAGTACTCATCACTAGAAATCTGTACAATCATGCATTCAGGATGTGCACTGGAAACATTGCGGCTGTCTAATCGGACGAGCTTGCTATATTATATTAAATCCATAGTCCAAAATCATACTTTTGCGGCTGTGTACATCTAATTGTATTTTGTATTTACTTAACGTGGGACATTTAACAAGCATCGGGCAAGTGCAGCGCGCACCGACTTGTTTAAACAAAACAGTTAAAATTACGACAAACTCGTCGTGTAAGACCGCGTCGGATCGCGACGACTCGAGTTTTACGTGTTTGTTGTGAGACTGCAAATGATGACTCTGATGATGCTAATAACGGTGATGGTGATGATGGTGATGATGTTTGTAGACCGTGGTGCTGATGGGAGCCGCCTCACGCGTATCGGACCCCCACTCGAATGCCTTGATGAATCTCTAGAGACACTACTCTCTTTCACCGTGGCCTTGGCTCGCGATCACGCGGCGGAGCGCGAGGGAGGGAGGAGGAGGAGGAGGATTACATTTGAGCCGCCGATATGAGAAGGGGGCTTCTGCAGAACGCGACGGCCTGAGCCCTGGGCCTCTCCGGGTGCGCCGGGGGTCGCCGCAGAACTCGGGACGACTCCACCGCACGCATCATCCGGCCTGTGTAGCGCGTCGCACCGGTGTGTAACGGAACACTGGACGCGTGGACAACGAGACGGACTTATGGACGGACGGACAGACGGATGGATACGCAGACACACACGCACACAGAGATCCAACCAGCCCGTATGGCCTTGAGTAGACTGTTGGGGCGAGTGAAGGCCGGAACCGGCACACGAAGCGAGTGCGTGGCTCACACCACCCACTACCGCATTCATCTCGACGATCGCGATGTTTATACATCGCACTTCATTTGAAGGCTGAGTTGACCTGGCGGGGGGGGGAGGTCCTGGACCGAAATATTCGCCACCGCTCCCCATCAGACGAACACTGATAGACGGACGCACAGAGACATACACAGCGAGTCGGACACAGTGACTAACACACAGACATGCGGATACAGACAGACACACAAATCGACTTGTAATCACGGCACACGCAGATGGACGGGTACATTCATGGAATTGCCACACAGACAAACTTGCACCCCGAGCGACACGCGCGCGCGCACACAGGGGAGCAGACAGACGCACGGACAGATACACTCGCACACAGAAGGAGGCTCTGTAATCAACGCGGTCGCCTTGTCGCTCCGTGTGGATGCGCGGCCTGGAGCAACCAACGGCAGTCGCGGCAGTAACTTGCAACCGCTCTCTCTCTCTGCGAGGTGGCGGCTGCCGCGGGTTAAAAATAAAACACGCAAGGTGGCGTTTTCGTTCAAAGTTTACATCGCAGATATATATTCTAATTAATGCCGCATCATCCCGTGTCGGTTCCGTGGGTAGCTCAGAGATCCGCTAGTTACGCTTAATTATTACGGTTACAAATGTTTGGTTTAACAGTGATTCTATATAATATTATTTCCTCTTTTGAGAACCCTAATTGCGACTTCTACTGAGATGAAAAAGCTGTGATGACGATGGAGGTGGTGATGGCGGTGATGATATTGGTCGTTCGACTTTGGTTCGCGTCACACGTTTGACACGATACGTGGATAATTCTTACCATGAATCACAATTTCTAATTATTATTATCATAATTATTATCCTTGTTGTTATCATTTGGAAGGCAGTGGCTGGCCGTGGAAGTTTTAGTCCAGCCACGCGATTTAAATAGACGACCAGATGTCCCCGATTCGAGACACTCAATACATCTTGGTGACATGTCATTATTATCATTCTTATTATTATGTATGATCTTTATTTCGTGTGTGTTTTTTTGCTGTGTAATATTTTGTAAAGGCTGTTTTGTGTGGAAAACGGATTAAAAACGGACACGAGAGATGGTTTACAGTGTTCATAATAGTGTTCTTATACACATTCGTTTGTGTAGTATTTTTTTTCGAAGCTGTCTCAATTTTGTACATAACATCGTTTATTTCTGCTGTAACTAATGACCACATCACACTGACCTCTTTGCATCGTTGTTATATATACACCGCTTTAGAGAGAGAGAGAGAGAAGAGATCTAGAAATAAAACCGTTTTTAAAAGTTTGTAATTCACCGCGTTTGCTTTGAGTTTTGTCTCCACGATTCTACTGCCCACGTGGGATTTGTCTGCGAGTGCCGCTACCGTGGCGGCCGTCACGTCGAGTGGCCACGCGCTGCGTCGGCAGCGCCACGGGTATCGAAGCACGCCAACGTACCCGTAGTCACAAGCGCGTGTGGCCCGGAGATCGCTACACGTATAAATAGGCGGCGTTTCGGGCAATGGCCCTAATTCTTCATAGCACTTTAATACATTTATTTGAGGTTCAGGAGAGAGAGAGCGTGGATAATGAAAGTTGGGAGACTGGTATCTTGTTTTACCCCACGGTGACCCGATCAAAATTAAATTTCTTAAGAGTGTTTTGCTGATTGAACACGTTTTTGTAGAAACTTTCCCCCAACAATATACACACACACACATATCATGGGTGACGTTTCACGGCACGTGGCATGTGCGGGTCGCGTTCACTCGACACGGGCGGGACGAGTCCTCCCGTAGAAATCACAGCCACCGCCGTTGCTCGAGGGACGTGGTCTCGGTTTGTGCTCTCGCCACGAAATCCGCAGAAATGGGAAACGGCGAGTGACGAATTTATTGTGAGCGTATTAATAGAGGTAGAGTATAGTACTTGGTTTAACGTGTTCATTCGCGGCGTATCTGGGATAAGTCTCGATACGCGCTGTGTATATACCTACTGGATACTCGATACGAGCTGTGTATATACCTACTGGTGACTCGATACGCGCTGTCTATATATACCTACTGGATACTCGATACGCGCTGTGTATATACCTACTGGTGACTCGAAACGCGCTGTGTATATACCTACTGGATACTCGATACGCGCTGTGTATATACCTACTGGATACTCGATACGCGCTGTGTATATACCTACTGGTGACTCGATACGCGCTGTGTATATACCTACTGGTGACTCGATACGCGCTGTGTATATACCTACTAGTGACTCGATACGCGCTGTGTATATACCTACTGGTGACTCGATACGCGCTGTGTATATACCTACTGGTGACTCGATACGCGCTGTGTATATACCTACTGGTGACTCGATATGCACTGTGTATATACCTACTGGTGACTCGATACGCGCTGTGTATATACCTACTGGTGACTCGATACGCGCTGTGTATATACCTACTGGATACTCGATACGCGCTGTGTATATACCTACTGGTGACTCGATACGAGCTGTGTATATACCTACTAGTGACTCGATACGCGCTGTGTATATACCTACTGGTGACTCGATACGCGCTGTTTATATACCTACTGGTGACTCGATACGCGCTGTTTATATACCTACTGGTGACTCGATACGCGCTGTGTATATACCTACTGGTGACTCGATATGCACTGTGTATATACCTACTGGTGACTCGATATGCACTGTGTATATACCTACTGGTGACTCGATACGCGCTGTGTATATGCCTACTGGATACTCGATACGCGCTGTGTATATGCCTACTGGATACTCGATACGCGCTGTGTATATACTTACTGGTGACTCGATACGCGCTGTGTATATACCTACTGGTGACTCGATACGCGCTGTGTATATACATACTGGTGACTCGATACGCGCTGTGTATATACTTACTGGTGACTCGATACACGAAATCTAAGATGGCAAATGCTAACCACACTACACGCGCAAAATGAAATTGTCACACATATATATGGATACACACATGCACATACCACGTATTAAAATAACGTGATATGTAGAATCAAATGAGCAGCTGGAGATTTGCAAACCCGTGACACGTGAAGAAGGGTCTAGCAGGGCCATTTCTGTGGTTGTGCGAAGGACGTCTTGGTGTGCCGACTTCGAAGTCCTTCCCCACACCTCCGATTATCACGGTTGGCTCTGTACGGTGCGAAAGAAGTTCAACGTACGTGGAGCGGGGCGTCATCTCCATCACGGGGGATGTGTGTCACGCTCGCGCATTTGCTTTGCTATCACCGCGAGGAAAGGGAAAACGCTGTCGACGTTTCGGTCGAGGGGCCTTCTTCCGTGTGAATGCGTCTTTGCTGAGTAACTTTCTCTCCGAGTTTGTGTCGCGCGAACCGCAGCTGAGTTCACGTGGCCATGGGTCCAAGGCGCCACGGGGAAGAGGAGCGAGGAGGAAGACGAGGAGAGGGGAATGGACGCAAGGTGAGACACTCGCGCGTGTGTGCGTGTGTGTGTGTGTGCGCGTGTGTGTGTGTGTGCGTGTCTGTGTGCATGTGTGCGTGTCTGTGTGCGTGTGTGCGCGTGTGTGCGCGTGTGTGTGTGCGCGTCGTGTGTGCGCGTGTGTGTGTGTGCGTGTCTGTGTGCGTGTGTGCGCGTGTGTGTGTGCGCGTGTGTGTGTGCGTGTGTGCGTATGCGTGTGTGTGCGTGTGTGTGTGCGTGTGTGCGCGTGTGTGTGTGCGCGTGTGTGTGTGTTTACGTGTGTGCGTGTGTGTGCGCGTGTGTGCGTGTGTGTGCGTGTGTGTGTGTGCGTGTGTGCGCGTGTGTGTGTGCGCGTGTGTGTGTGCGCGTGTGTGTGTGCGTGTGTGTGTGTTGTGCGTGCGTGTGTGTGTGCGTGTGTGTGTGCGTGTGTGTGTGTGCGTGTGTGCGTGTGTGTACGTGTGTGTGTGCGTGTGTGCGCGTGTGTGTGTGCGTGTGTGCGTGTGTGCGCGTGTGTGCGCGTGTGTGCGTGCGTGTGTGTGCGTGTGTGCGCGTGTGTGTGTGCGTGTGTGCGTGTGTGCGCGTGTGTGCGCGTGTGTGCGTGCGTGTGTGTGCGTGTGTGCGTGTCGGGCGTGGTAGTGTCGCAGTTTGCGCGTTGCGCCACGAACCCGGCAAACCCGAGTTCGATTCGCGCTCACGACCAATGTCAGTGATAAAATATCTGAAACGGTCCTGGGACCGGGGAGACAAAGGCGGTCCGGCGTAACGATGGTTACCCACCCCTTGTGTGCCCTGCCGGCCTTAATAGTGGCTACTGCCACACCGCTCTTTCCCCAACAGTCTCTCAAACGCAATACGGGGGGGGGGGGTCTTTGTCTTTATATTTATGCCTAGGCGAGTTTATACAAAATTGTAAATAGATTTTAAGAGTTAATCGAAATAATGATCCTCCTAGCCTGGGATGTTGTAAAACCGTGCGTCTCTGTGTGAGATGTGTACTGTACACTACATCGGCAAAACCCAGCGGCATTTGTTTAACGGACCACGCCTCGCTAGTGACACCCAGACGACTCGAAACCCGACTCCGCTCCCGAGCTTCGCTTCTGCTGCTGCTGACATGGATCGACTCAGAAGCCCTGTCCTGTGGTGGGGGGGGGGTGGGGCATGGGCCCTGTGTGCAGGGCTATGTGTGGGTGGGGGGCTGTGCGTGGGTGGGGGGGCTATGGACCCTGTGTGTAACGCGTGGTTTCGTGTTGCAGCGACGGTCGCGCGCTGTCGCGCCAAATCGCGTCACAACAAGTGGCGGCTGTCGCGTTAAGCCCGGTGCACATCCGAGCGATCAGTCGCTTATGTTTGAGGCGTCACTGAACACGTGTCGCGCGCAGTAGAGGCAACGCAGACTCCACTCTCTCACGCGATCCGCTCGGCGAGTTAAAGCGACGGGTTGCATCGCACGACGCGTTCGATAAGGAACGGTGATTTTGTTTGTCGTTACGACCTCAATCCGCCGCCTGATTTCCTCGTTTGCGCAACTGCTCGCTCCGATGTGGACAAAGCGGTGAGAGGCGATGATGATGACGATGATGCCGTTGCTCGATTTGTAAGCGCGGTCACGTTGTAGGCGACTCGGAAAACCGAGTGACTCGTGGTTAACAAATTCAGACTGAAAATCTGTATTTATCCTGGACACATCCGATGAGCTATGGAGATCTTGTTCACAGATGTCCAGTAATTACGCGAGGGGGTCTCACCGCTGAAGATCGCTGTATCCCTCCGCACCCCCGTGGAGTGCACACCCGCGCACGTCTTGCGGTGTCGGCGTGGGAAGACCAACGATCTCACTCGTGAACGATCAGCGAGTGTCATCTGCGACAATGTCATTTGTTCGGCCAAGTCGGGTGGTGGAGGGGTCTTATGACAAAAATTGTAGCGAGAACATTACTTGGCACAACCCCCAAAATAATATTTTATATTGGCTGTGAAAGTCCCACGTGTTCAGACAGTGTAGTGATTATTGCTTTAATTTTAAATCTGATGATTACGCGACACAGGGAATATTGCGACGTCAAGCAGGCGGAATGTCTCGCGTTCGATATCAGTTTTTCTGAGACACGCCGAGGCTCTGCGATTGGCCTCCTCGTGGCGATGCGGGTTGAGACGCACTTCTGGAGAGTGTGGAGATATCTCATGGCCAGGATTAAGCCATCAAAATTTTGATAATATTCGCAAACGATTGTTGGATCGCTTCGGCGAGTAGACACGGCCTCGAATCGGGTCCCATCACCTGAGCGATCAATAATAATTATCATATCCTGCGACTGCTTTGTCCCACAATCTGAGCCACAAGTTGCGCACAAGTTGAATGAAAACGCGAATTCAATGTTGGCCACAGTGCGTGTTGCGGCAAGTCGCCACGGATCGCCGAGCTGCTAGATGCTTGAGGGTCGAGTCTCTACTCCCAGCGTGAGCAGAGACGGACGTTCGATTCAACCGCTTACAACCGAGTTGCACACCTGTTTGCGTAGATGTGGGCCAGGCCGCTATGCCTTTCGCTTACATCGCAACTTTCAACAACATAGAGCGATCTTCTACACTCGTACAAATCTTCCTGCAATGTGAAAAAGGGTCATTGCCCGAAACGTCGCCTCTTGTGTATTGCTTTCCCCTACAGTTGGGGCAGTGCTACTGAGGAACGTTTTGAGTTGTTTCTGTTGACTGTCCTTGTGCACCGCTGGCGTGCGGCCGGTTTAAATCCGCAACTCTTCATTTAATTCGCTGACTTGTAAAGTCTTTGATTTTACGGCTAACGAAATTATGCTTACGAATAGGCGGTACGA